AGCAGTCGTAGAAGCTGTTAAACAAAACAAACTAAAAAAATATTTATAGAAAAACAATGCTCTTATGACTTTTATTATTTTTATGCTAGTGAGAACCAAAACAATATGGAAATGAATGAGGGAAAACTGAATCCTACCACGTGATTTCCCGTCCAATAAAAATGTAGCGTTAAACATTTAACGCAACCTTGTTGGAAGTCGCATAAGAAGTATAACTTAAAAAAAAAAAACTATTTTATGCCAATAAACAACAATTATTGCGAAGCAATCATCGGGGTTGGTGAGCGGTGGTGAACAGGGGGCTTGGCAACCGAGTCGATACGTAAAAATCCGAACAAGGAGAGATTGCAGTTAAAAAAAAAACATAATAATTCCGTAACTTTCCCACAGAAAATTTCTGTTTTTAAATACTACAGAAATTTACTGCTAAATTACAACGCAATTTTTTAAAAGACACAGTTTTTCTGTTTTACAAATAAAATCTGCAATCATTGATATAGATTGTATTTGTTGGGTACAGTTTTTTTTTTTTTTTAGTTTTGAATATCAGAAACATTGGTACCAAAGTGACACCAAATAATTTGATATATCGAAACAGATTTCATTCCTTATGATATTTATATACGTCAGAACTTTACAGTGGAAAAAAAATTTCTATGATGATTCCTTCAAACGTGATGATTTTCTGTTTCTCAAAAATCGCAAAACATCTCACAAGCATCTCCCAAATTGAAAAACTAATCAAATTTTCAAAAATTTGATTCAATATGCACACCAGAGGGTATACAGCTACCTTCATGTCAAATTTCTTAGCAGTACGTGTAAAAGTGTGGACTGTACCTATGTACCCTGACCTACTAAAAACTTCTGGTATGTACGGATATTTTCTGTGCTGTTCAGTTATGGGAAATTTCTGACAATGTTTTTTTTTTTTTAATTTTTATTTCTTTATTTCTTTATTTTTTTTTTTTTACATACGGATTATTTCTGGCAACTTTGCTGCCAGAAATTTTCTGTAATATAGCAGATTTTTTTTCCCCGTGTGTTTCTAGCAATAACAATATTCAATTAAAATAAGGTGTCAATATGTTTTCAAAAGTAATGGCTTCGGAAGTGAACAGTTTGTGACCCAGCATTTTTTGTTCTAAACAGAAGAAATATGCGTTCACTTGATTTCATAACACTTGAGAAATTTCTCGAAAAAATAATTAAATAGCAATTTATTTAATTGTTATTTTTCCATATTCAAATGAAGCAGTCAAATTACCATAAATAAGATCGTATTCAAACTGTTAACTGTGAGAAAAACCGTTTATAAACTGCTCTCATTTAATACAGTTAAGCTAACAGAATTTTATCGCAGCAACTAAGCCCACCTAATGATGCAGCTGGGTACATATTATAGCAGAGAAGGCTAATCTGTCAATCTCATTACCGACAGAATGGGGGTTCGAGTCCCTGAGTTGACACCATTATATTTCCTACTATTCCTTCAGCACATGATGAGTTTCCAGCTGTACTGCCCTCCCTAATTTGTGATCCTGCACTACTAGAATACGATACTCTCATTCACGCATAGATGGCAGCACCATAAATTTGCTTAACACAAAAAAGTTAGGTATTTCCCATCTCTAGTGTCTACTTTCATCTACAACCATAGAAACTAATTAAAACGCATTCCATGGTTCATTTCATAAAACACAACTCAACCACAAACTGCCTCCTATGCCCATTTTCAACGAAAAGGCTAGCTTCAATTTCCAGTTAAATTTCTTTTTTCCGGTTTTTAAATCATGCTAATTGTAAATAGTTGAAAGAAAAAAAACGTATAATTTTGTATTCATAATTTTTTTTAAACCATATTAGTTGTAAACGGTTTCAAAACCGTAAAGGTTAAAAAAAAAGTGTTTCTACCGTAAGTTTTACGGTTAATTGGATGGGTAGACAGCTGCCATTTATTTTACTGCAATGCTAGAAAGAAAATTTTTACAGTTCACCGTTTTATTGAGTCATGATAATCTAAGTTTACTCGCCAACCATAATTATTTGATACATTAAATCCTGTACCTAAAGTTAGGAAACAAAAAAAAAAATTGCTATTGTAGAGGGATACACATGCCTTAGATTTTATTTTCAAATAAAAACTAGAAAAATAAAAATGAGGTAATCAGTTTTCGATTAAGTGTAGTGATTAATTCTGAATTTTAGACATCACTTCAATTTACAAATGTCCTATTCTTGGAGTGTTTTGAGACAAATTTGTATACTTTCCCTTTTAAAAAATATTTAAAGGAGAAAATGTACAATTTTCTAATCGGCTTTACTACATTAGAAACTTATTAAAAACAAGTAAATTTAAAAAAATTTTTTTTAGGAAAATAAGACATTTAAAATTCTTACACATTCTCAATAAACCCTTCATAAGTGGCAGTATTTTAGTTAACTAGAATTTAACCGTATACCCTATGTACCCTATGTACAAAGAAAAAAAAATTCCCTTTAATTTTTGTTTTATTGATCGGATTTTCATGTACTAATTCCCATTTTAATGGTTCAAAGGGATTACCTTCAACCAGATAATTAATTGATGCTAACAATTAAGTTACGAAATTAGACGTAAGAACGTACTTTCTTTGTATAAACATATGGTTTTTTCGACGTATTTTGATTTTTTACCATCAAAACATGGATAATTATTCAAAATCAGGAAAATAGGGTCTCATCAGTTTAATCAGGAGAGTGATCGAAAGTTTAAGGTCCTTAATGTTTAGTTCACTCTTCTAAGTATTCCACCATTACTCGAAACTTTCGCCATAACTCTTCGCACGTAGGTCGTCGGGCTACCGAAGCGGGGGTGTCATCCCCTCTGCAGAGGATCATAATCGTGATGGTATGTCTTCGGATCATCCTCAGGGATGGCTCCCAGACTGTCGACAATAGTCCATTGTGTAGCTCTAAGGCGACGTAAACAAACTACATCAAACTACTACAACCATAAATCGAAAACTCTTCAAGCGAATTAGAAAAGTTTTGCACCATTACCATAATTAATCAATTCGAAATTATTATAAATCGATTAAAAATTATAATTAATTGATTGAAAATTATATAGATTCTTATAAAATGCATCCAATATTTTCTTTATTTTTTTTCAAGCAAAACAAAGAAACTTTTTTTTCTTCTAAATTTTTCTTCTAACAAATTACCCATGCGTCATTGTGGGTATTTTCGTCTGCGTGGATGGTGGTGCTGACAAGTTGTTGCCGGCATTTAAATCTGCGAAGTAATTTTTTCATGAAGTTTTCTGCAGTCTAAAAGAATAAGTCAATATGTAAAAAAAAAAAAAAATTGAAAAGTATGTAAACCTACCAGAAAGATGTCTGCTTGAAGTTTTGTGAATTCTAAAGAAATACATCGATCTGCAAATAAATATGTAAAAACTGTATGCATCTGCGAAGTTAGATTTCTCGCTTGATGTTTTGCGAAATCCGAGAAATACATAGACTAGCTTATAGCTTACGTTTAATGAAATTTAATCTAAAAAATGTATCAACCTGCAAATAAATATTAAAATTGTATATAATCTGCGAAGTAAGATTGTTTCGCTTGATGTTTTGCGATGTATGAAACATAAATCGACTAGCTGTTGCTTAAAATTTGAAAAATCTAAAAAATATATCAACCTGTAAATAAATATGTAAAAAATATATAAATCTGCAATCTGCGAAGTAAGATTCCCCGCTTGATGTTTTGTGATGTCCGAAAAATATATCGACTAGCTGTCGTTTAAGTTTTACGAAGTCTTAAAATATATCGACTACTTGACGCTTAAGCTTTGTGAAGTCTTAAAAAAATATATCGACCTGTAAATAATATGTAAAAATATAAATATGTGAAGTAAAATTTCACACTTGATGCTTTGTGATGTGTGAAAATTACATCGACTTGCAAATAAATATGTAAAAATATAAATATGTGAAGTAAAATTTCCAACTTGATGTTTTGTGATGTCTGAAAAATATATTGATTAGCTGTCGCTTAAGTTTTGAAAAGTCTATAAAAATATATTAACCTGCAAATAAATATGTAAGAAGTATATAAATATGTGAAGTACGATTTTCCGCTTGATGTTTTGTGATGCTCGAAAATATTTTAAATCTACGAAAAACGGATATCTGCTTAAAATTTTGTTAAGTCTAAAAACCAATTCTCAGTTTCATTACAAAGTAATTCAGACAGAAGCTTTAAAAGAAATCGAAACTTCCCTTAGTATCGTAAAATTATCTGCAGTAGCTCCAAAAATAATTATCAAAAAACTTATTTCAGAGTTTTTTTTAAAAAAATTCTTATCACAACAAAATTTTTCTACCATATACCTAAGATTAACATCTTTATTTATTACAAAATTTTTCTATCTGAAATTTGAAATTGAATTGTAAACCTTTACTTTCATTTCATTTTTAACGTATATAATTTCAATTAACTTTGTTTATAGTTTAAAAACAATAATCTGAATACAGAGTTTTCAGACGAAGTTTTTGATACAAATTTTATACGGCATTACGTTTCTTCGATACGAAAAAGATACAAAATGGAAAAATTTTTCAATAAAAGAAATAGATCGTAAAAAAAAAAAAAAAAATGATAAACATATTAAAAGTCGCAAAAAAAAGCGAATTAAAAATTCAATTCTCGAAGACTCAATTAGAAATTAAAAATAAAATTATTAAATCATGAACGATTTTTCTCCTCTCCTAAAAAAAAAAAAAGGGAGATTTATTAATTAGCCTCTAAAAGTAGTAATGAATTTTGATTAGATTATTACAATGTCCGCTTACGCAATTAGCAAAAATAGAATAATAAACGGTACTTTTCTTTGCCACCCACCCCTCTATCTAACCGTAACCGTCTCTCTCTCTTTCTGTACGATAAAACTAAAACATCGCTTATCAGGATGATAATTTTTTAGCGGAGCCTGGGGCTCGCGCGAAATGCTTCGGTAATGAACCACTAAGTTGAGCTAAAAGTACGATAATGAGTACATCGGGCTGACTTAATCGGGGCGCCTTTTCCAAAAGATTTTTCTTTTTACATCCTCCTACACACAATAGGAAGACGAAGGAGCCCTTTCTTAACCCCCTTTCCCCCCACTGCAAAGGAGAGATCAGAGATGGGGGGGAGGGCGAAGAGATGATAGCAATTTCAGTCTCTGTCAACACATAATGGATCGACCAGCGGGCGCTGGGAAGCCATTCGGGCCGCTGTTTTCTGACACATTAACAGAGGCAGAGATAGGGCCGCTGGGCGGGGCGGGGCCACGGGGAGAAAAGGGGCGGTGCACAATCACCGCAGTCCCCTTTCCCACACCTCGGCAGGGAAAAAGAGATTAAACTGCAATCGCTATGTGCCCTGCTCTCCTCTTCTTGTGACGACGGAGCTGATCGCGGATTAATGCCGCCCATGGCCGGCGCCAAGACCGCCGCCGAGTCGAACAAATCGTTCTGCATCGAGGCCCTGCTGGCTCGGAGTTCGCCGGTGACCGACTCTTCATGCGACCGCTGCCCTGTGGCCGCATCACCGAGGCCACCCGTTGGACTGGCCGGACTGCCACTGGCCGCTTTGCCTGTATTTTCACCTCATCCTCTGTATCAGTATCATCATCCGCATCATGGTCAGTTACATCCACCCTCTGCAGCTTTTCCTGTTATGACCAGCGCGTTTCACCAGCCACTGGCGGAGCAAGCCGCGGCCGCCGCTGGACTTAAATCTGGACATTTTGAGTGGCTGGCACGCACGGGCATGTTTTATCCTAGGTCTGGTGAAGCGCCAGGTGAGTACTTATGTAAGTGCAGCCACTTTACTATACATTCATTACTTAATTTAAGGTTATTTTATATTTTACATAGCTTTATGTCTTAAATAGTTCATCTTCTTTTCTGTTAAACCATATTATCGTTATTGCAACTTTAATATGGTGAGAATTTCTAATTTGAACCCTATTGTCGTGCTTCTTAAACTTGATAGCGTGATATTATGGTTCATTTCAAAAGGAAACATGGTTCCACATAACACATGGTTCTATTTAATTTATTAATTTTGTAACAAATTCGAACCCGGGTATGGTTCAAGATACCGATAGTATGGCTTAAAATTGAATTGATTTCTCTAAAATTCAAATATTTATTTTCGCTGTTGCTTAAAATGCTTAAAAAGTAAACAAAATAGAAAGCAATGCTGAAAAAGTAAACAGGAAGCGTTTCGGCACTTGTTTTAGTCAAAGTATATTTAAAAAAAGATTTTTTTTTTTTTTTGTGAGCATAACTTTTAATTTATGTCAGGTTTCTTCCTACACGCGTTCTATTAAAATATGGATCGTTCTTTCCAAAAGTAAAAAATCTTCTTGTTAATGAATTTTAAAATGCCAAGTTTTTTCAGATTTATGTGAGGATAGACAAATTCAAGTTTTCATTTCATTCAGTGTTATCAATAGAATTTAAATACAATTTCTGGAGTTGTTTCCCTTTTATATTGAATGATGTGTTTAAATAAATTATAGTTAATAAGACAATATATAAAATAATGGTAGGGAGTTGCATCATTTTTGCAATGAACAGCAAACAGATTTAGAAATTTAAATCTAGACTGTTTTCATAATTTTTGTAAATGAACATTTTAGATGAAATGTAATGAAACTGAATTTTTAAATCTTCTCTTAAGACTGCACTTTTATAACAAACTATTTAGAGGTCAAAATGCTTAGCGAAGTTTTGACTATTCAAATGAGTATTGTTGTGTCACCCCTTTATTTTATGAACTCAGTGGAGTAAAGTTGTAAGATAACGACACTTAAAATAATCATAATAAATTTCATATTGTTCTTCATAACAACTTAATTTTTAAAAAAATTTTTTGCAGAATTTTTATATTTTAGCGAAATTAAAGAGAAACTAATTTATTATTTTTTAATAATTGAATAAAATATTTTTTTTCAAAAATTTACATTGGTATGTATGTTTTGAATTGTTCATATCTAAGAGATGGAAAGAGAATAATAAGTGCTATTGAAAATATTTAATTAAAAACGTTTCGAGTTATTTTATATGATATAACTAATTTTTAAGTATGGCGTTCAATTAATCATTTCTTATTAAATGCGTCAAATTTATTTAAAAATTTAAACCAAAATTAGTTTTGCAGTGAAATGCCATTTAAAGTAAACTTTCCCAACTATTCCTCTCAATCTCGCAACTAAAACGTATATTTGGTGACCAGAATGCTTGGAGAATTTTTCGGCCAGTCAAATAAATAGAAAATTAAATAATAAAATAATAAATATATCGGAATGTAATTTCAAGTGTACCATATTATAAGTATTCATTTTAAAGATATGAAAACTCAAAAAATAAAACGAAATGATGTAAAGTACAATTGAAGATGTTTAAAGCTAAATATCACCTTTGACTCTGATTGCGGCACCCTTTTTACATTGATCACACACGAGAGCATTAAAATATTTTTTTATGCCATAAAAATCTGTGATAGATCGTTTATAGACCATTCGAATTTATTTCATGATATTTTGGCTGAATTCGGAATTTGTTTGAGGCATTGCTTTAGATGATCAATAATATATTAACCAGAAACAATGATCAATAATATATTACAGAAATAAATTTTACAAATGAATAACATTGTTTTAGTAACGAATTAGATATTTAATTCAGATTACTATAAATCTTTTTATGACAATACTCATTTGGTTGAAATGAAAAAACTGCTAATAAGCATTTTAAAATACTTTATTAAATTCTTGTTTGATTTTCGGTGATATAAGTTAATAAGAAAAACGAAAGAATATATTAGATAGTTAGTTATTTTCTTTGCCAAAAAAAACTTATTTCACACGGTTATATGCAATCTTTGGAAAAATTTCTTTTTAAAATATCAAAAGTTTGATATTTATTTACTTACATAAATAAGTAAAAAGTTAATTGCTTACTTTAAAAGTTTCAGTTGAATGATATGAATTATTCATATGAGTGGCAAAAATAGAGTCATAGTGAAATATTATAAGTATTAAGTACTGTTTCCAATGTATATATATACAGTGATTTTGTAGAGCAGAAAAAATACAACTGGCATATTTTATTGCAAATTGAAAAAGTAAAAAACTAAACAAAAATGATTCTGATTTATAAAATAGGAAACGTCTCCTGAGTTTGATTTGCAATAATTTAAAAGAGGAAAAAGTTGAAGCCATACTCTAAAATTATTTAATATGCATAGTTAAAAAACACAAGTAAAGCGATGTGTGTTTGTAATGAACAACACTAGTTATTCATATACAAGTAATGAAACTAAGTTAGAAACTGTGGTGCAAGATTAACTGCATTAAGGTACCAATAATATGGCTAATTCAGTGACCTGGAAAAGCTGAAAATTTATCAAGGTGATTAGTGCAATATTAATGTACATTTTTCTTTTGTTTATAAAATTATTAAATAATTAATATTTGATTTAGTCACAGATTTTTTTTTCGTTGTGAAACTTCAAACTTTTTTTATTAACGATATTTTTTATGTAACAACACAATGATTACATTCGTTTAAAAAATCATAGAACTTGGAAATGCAATTATTTCTATCTATTTTACGTACACAAATATCACGCAACGTCAAACGTTATGTAAACCGTGTCTTTTTACTGGAAAAAAATTAACTTGAACATTTTAATTTACACATAATATTTTATTTTCGAAACAGTTCATTAATAATGTTTTATATTAAATTTGGTTATTACAAATGCAATTTGTTACAAATTACACAAAAAAAAAGTAGAGCATATTTATATAAATTATTTATGTAAATTATTTATATAATTATTAATCTTAAAATTATGATATATTTAGCTAAATGTGAATAAAATATATTTAGATAAATGTGAAAGATTGTTTCATCATAAAATTTACCAAAAAGAAAAAAAAAGAATCAATTTTTAAGTAAATACTGTAATTTAATTTTAAAAAATGCAAATAGAATAGAAATAACTTGATTACAAAAATTAATTACAACTATTGCTACACAATTTAATTATTACTTCCTCTCTCAATCTTGTTTTCATTCTCAATATATGTTTTAAACTTATCTGATTTACTTCAACTTACTTCTTCAACAACAGTACTTCAACTTGCATACCTTAATTTATTCAGTAAAATTTTGTTTCTTAGGGTGGGTAATAAAAATTAAAAAAGAGATAAAAAGAGCAGAAAATAATTTGTGAATTTTTTGAATTTTACAAATAAAGTCACTAATAAAACTAAGAATTATCTTTCGCATAATGTATACATGCATTTTATTACGTAATTCCCTTAAAATATATTTAAGTCATATAATTAACATGCCTTTAGAGTCATATAATTAAACTAAAAATGAGCATAATTTTTTTTTTATTTGGAATTGAAAATGACCATACATACAAATAGACTACTATTTTCAGCCTTGTTTTCTCCGTGAAAATAATAGTATTATTTTGCTTTACTAATTTCGTACCTAATTAATAGATAATTTAATTGTTTATTTTAATTTTTGTCTACCTTAAAATTCCTGCTTTTGAAGAATTATTCACAATACAAGTTTGCGTAGCTTAAATAAATAATTAATATTTGAACGTCAAACGATAATTTTAAAGAATTTGTTTAAGTACAAATAAGGGGAAAAATGATCCCAGATTATTTTGCTTTTTTCTAAATCAACAAATTAAAGTTATGGACAACATTTAAATTCAAGCATGAATTATAATTAAAGATAATCAAAATTATCGAATCAAAAAGTGAGCATTAAAATAAGACCGTTTTAAAAGAAAAATGTTTCTGTCAATGCGTTTTTCCTGCAACGGTACATTTCAGGCAGAGAAAGTAGTTACAGTTTTCACGGTAAGGCGTTCGTTGAGTTCTCCAACTACTGTTGAGTCTCATGGGAAAATAGGAAATTCTGATGGTAATAGTTTATTAAGTTGGGTTTCTTAAACTGTTCTGTACATGGCAAAAGTGTTTAACTATAAGCTAATGTGTTTTTCAACTTTGTTGAACTAATCGTTTTATTGATGTTTAAAGTTATAGTAAAGATAAAATAAAAACATTTTTTAATTTTCTTTTCCCAATTTTTTTTCGTAAGAGCAAGAAGTTCCTATATTTGTAGTTGTATTGCCAAAATTTATTTTTCTTTTCCTTTTTTTTTCTTTGCAAACGTAACATTTCTTTGTTGCGTAATTGACCTCAGCAAGATTTGCTAGTGCCAGTAAAAAAAAAANAGAAAAAAAGAAAAAAAAAAAGATCTCAAATTAGATTGTATTGACCAGCACTGTATCTTGAGGGATTATAATAGCATGCATTAGTAATACTTATATTAGTATTTGTATTAGTATTAGTAATTTACTTGCTGTAAAAATTATAAGACAAGAATTAACTATTATTTCCATTTTCTCTTTAATTCCATATTAAGCGAAATAAAATTTCAATAACAATTAATATTTAAGGGCAATGAATATTAGCAATTATTTTCATTGTAATTGTTATTACACTTAGGAATTATTGTTATTAAAATTTTTATTTAGCAAAAAATAATTAAACTACTTTGGATAAATATTGAGGAACTTGGTTTTAAAATGCATTCATTATTGTTACATCATTAAAATTCACATTAACTACTAAAAAAATTTGACACCTGAATTTGGATACCAATGATTTTTGAAAGGAATTAGGTTAATGATATTTTTAAGACACTTGTTATTATTAAAACATTTCATTTTAGAAACATGTCATTTAAGCATTAAATTAATAAGTTC